GAGTCAGGCTTCACTGGTCTACAGTCAGAAAAAAAATAAAAACAATGTCTATTTATATATGTCCTTCCATACAGGAGACCATGAGTTTGAAACATTTAGCATAGTGTTTGGCACATGGGTGTTCAATAAATATTAACTGAATGAATATATGAATAGGTGATTACTATTTAAGGGACTACTACAATTACCACGTTTTGTTTTGTTTTGTTTTGTTTTGTGTTTTAAACCCTGAGTGGTATAGTAGACAGAACACAGCTTTCTATTTTACTCACAATAAAATCTGATGCTTCAGGGCCTGCAAAGCCCTACCTGATCTGCAACTCAACCACCTCTTAGACTCATCTCCCACCACTCTCCCCTTATTTACCATACTTCTGCAACCTGATCTCCCTGTGTTCCTGAAATGAGCCAAACACATTCCTGCCTCGGTGCCCTGTGCCAGCTCTTTGCCTAGAACACTCATTCCTTCAGACTCTGCTCAATGTCCTCTCACCTCTCAGAGAGGCTTTCTTTACCACCTGATCCAAAACAGCATATCCCTTATCCTGCTGTATTTGTCCTCCTATCTGTCCTCACTTATTATCAGCTGGCACGTTACATAATCATTTGTCTCCCCAAACTGGAAAGTCACTCTCAGGAGGGCAGGGACTTTGTCCATTTTGTTCACCGCTGTATCCGTTGTGCCTAGGAAGTGCCTGGCACATAGTTTATTCATTCAACAAATATTTATTGAGCTCTTACTAACAAACATTAGACTGGAGTCCAGACACCTGTACTAGTCCTAATTCTACCACTAAAAAGTTGTGTGACTTTAAACAAATGTCCCCTGACACTCAGTTTCTGAATCTGTGAAAGACTTGGTTGGGAAAAAGATATTTCTAAGGCCTCACCTGCCTCTAAAAGCATTGAATTTTACAGAGCTGCTTTTTACGTACAACTTTTGTATGAAGTTTGAGAGACTCAAAAGTCTTTTTCTAATATCCCTGCTCCAAAGACCCCTGATGAAGCTTTTCTCAATCTTTGAAGGTTGAGTGGATCCCAGGGCTTTTTCCCATTTTCAGGTTCTTCATACAGACCTTTTCTTCCTCAAATTTCTTAACAGTTAATGATCTAATTATGCTTTTCTGTTTCTGTACCGAGAATGTGAACACCTTGAGGACAGTATGGATTCTGAGTAATTTTTGTATCCCCAGCAAGTTGCATGGTCCATGACTATTAGTAGGCAATCCCTGAATGTTTAGTGAATGAATGAATATAAGGAAAGCCAAAGTGGAACAGGATCATTACGCATATGGAGAACTGAGACCATCCCTTTCTTTTCTCTGAAGAATGGTGGGCAGAAGGCAAAGCTTTGGGGCTAATGATTCCTCTGAAGGGATGAAAGAAACTAAATCTTATTGGGGTTTTTTTTTACTAAAACCAAGCATGCTTACTACACACATTCACAGAGTTTATTTAATCCTAAAACAACTTAACAAATTAGGAATTATTACTACCATTTTACAGATGAGAAAATCGTGGCTCAGAGACGATAAGGGATTCTGCCTATGACAGAATGAAGGGCTAAAAGAATTCACACTCAGGGCTCTTCATGCCATGTATCATATTCATATCACACAATGATACGTCCGAAGGGTAGTCTTCTCATCCAGTGTAAGTTGGTACGAGTGATGGTAAGCTTTCCTGCGCTAGAAAAACATTTTTACAATGAACGGGTTTTTTTCCCCTTGATTTGGAAAGGTGGCTATAGATAATTCTAGTATATATTATTCTTGAAGGGGTAAAAAAAGAGATTTACAAGCAGATTACACATGTGACTTTTGAATTTTTTAACATAAACTTTATATGTCTGATCATAAAATACACTACCCATTCATTACAGAAAAGAACTGAAAAATACAAATAGATATCGAGAAAAAATTTTAGTCAACTATTATTTCATCACTCAGAGACAAGCACTATTAACCTCTTTAACCTTAACGTTAATAAAGGTTACTATAACCTTTATTATGTTATTTATTATGTTAACCTTTATTAACATTTGAAGGCTTTTTCCAATTCATATTTTATTTTATAGTGAGATCATTCTAATTTATACAATTATTATTTTTTCAAATGCAATATATGCATTTTCTATATTGTTAAAAATCTTTATGAATAGCATTTTAATAATGGTTTAATAATATCACATCAAATAGATGCAATAATTAATCCTTCTGTTATTATTACTTAGGCTATTTTCATTCATTCATTGTCTCTCAATTTCAAAAAAAATCAGTTTGCAATTCAACTTCTGAGAATGGTTCTGATCTCTAAGTAAACACAGAGACAACCTTCCCATTCAAGAAGGGGAAAAGCTCCTAGTAGTATTTAAAGAGATGAAGTCTCTCCTTTTCTTTTTATAACCTTTCAATGTAGAAACTAGTAGAAGTCATTCAAGTTTCACCTACAGACAGGAGGGGAGGCAGCGAAAGTCTAGCAGTGGCTCGAAGTAAACTGCCCCAAGTTCGCATCTTGGTTCTTATACCTTCAGTAAATTATATAAAGCCTCAGTTTCCTCATCTGTAACTGGACAGGCACCTCATAGTGTTACTGGGAGGATATAAAATAAGAAAACATTTGTAAACATTTAGCACCAAGACTTGCACAGAGTGAGTGACTCCTTTTTTAATTGTAAAACTTTAAGAGAAGAGTCGAGAGGACATCATTCTTACTTTCCATTCATTAGAGGATATTGCAATTGTTCACCTCTAGTCTCAGAAGAAAAAGAGCTTCAGGCTATATTTACAAACTCACACACAACAAAATCGTTTGATTTCTGACACTCTGAAGTAGGAGAAATTCAGGAACTCCCAGTTCCCCTAGAAGTTCCTTCCCACACTATCTCCCTACCTCTAGCTAAAGCTACCATCCCTGTTCCCTCTGCCCCAACCGTGGATCAATCCCTAGACATCTTACTCTCTGTACTGCCTCTCTGATCTGAGACCTCCCCAAATTCAACTTTCCAATCTGCCTGTCAACCTAATTTCCCAATGACACCACTCTGTTTTTCTAAATCCTATTCAGTTTACCGATTTCTTGTTACTGATGTTATCAAATCCAAATTTTTTAAAAGTGTGATGATTTTCAAGATCCCTCCACTGTAATCATCTGGTTCTTGCCTCGGGATCCACCTTACCATCTCTAGTCAGAGCAAGCTAAAGTTGCTGTAGATAAATCATATCTTTACCTGAAGATCTTGACCTTTGTCAAAGGTCAATACAAACCCAAGTGGTTCTTTCAATCGTTGTGAGCTGTTCACATTTTATTTTATTTTTATTTTTTAGGTGAGGCAACCCTGGGTCGACCTCACAGATTGCAAGGACCTTGTCAGCTTACAATCCTTCATTATTTTATTTTATTTTTTATGCCTACAGCACCTGGTCTCCCATCCAAGTACTAACCAGGCACGACCCTGCTTAGCTTCCGAGATCAGATGGGATCAGATTTGTTCAGGGTAGCATGGCCGTAGAGGAGCTATTCACATTTTAGAGTAAATAAATTTTCAGATTCTCTGGGGCATAAATTTTGGTTGGGCAAAGATAGGACCCCAGACACATTAGGGGGAAAAGGTTATGAAGTCTGGGAGTGACAGATTTCCCCTTCTCACAGGTTCCTACTCCTTGTTTCAGTTCCTACAGGTGCTTTCTCTACTGCTCTTCCCTTCTGCAACTCCTACCCATTCTCTAAGGCCCAGGTCATGCCCCTCTCTTCTCAAGGCAGTCACAAATCTATACACTCTCTTCTAACCTTCTACAGTACCATTGGGTACTATCCTTCCTACCTTCTCACTTATTTAGTACATAGTCTCATAATCCCCATATTGCTAGCTAACTTTTTCCATAAAGTGCCTGCTTCTCACTTGGTAGTTGCTTGGTAAATACGTGACCAATATCCAGACTTCTTGTCTGACTGACCATTCACTCTAATCACTGCCACTCTATGGGGTATTTCAACTTCAGCTCTGCAGACTTCACTTGGGCAGCACTTCTAAGAGGATAAGATGGGCATTCTGAAAGGCTGCATTTCCATATGTCACATACGAAAACTTTCTACTGATATTAATAGATTTAGGAAGGGACATCAGTGACAGACGAAACAAAAACCAAAACAAAAAACCTATACTAAAAAACTAAAAACAAACAACAACAAAACAAAACCCATACTCAGAGAACAACAGAAAGTAGAAACAAATCCAAATAGAAAGATGATTTCTACTATTCTCATTTCAGAGCCTCTATGAAGGGAGGGAGGAAAGAAGGAAGGGAGATCCAAGTGTAGAGAGACCCCTACTTTTACATAGTATTACTTAACTGCATTCGCATTAATTAAAAAGCTGATACTTGAGGCCATGGGGAAAAAGAGCAACATTTTTAGAAAAGGGGTTACTGAAACTCATGCTTCTTTTCTCCAAAGACTTTATGGGCCTTTGCACCAAAATAAAGTCCCTTTATAGCAACTTAGCCCAGTACTAGCCATCCAAGAGACACTTCCTAGTCATCTGAAGGTTCTAGGAAGGTTCCACCACCTCCACCCCGACTCCCATCCCATACCCCTTTCTCCTATAGCTCAGGCTTTTAAGATTGTTCCTATGCTTTGGGCCAAAAGTCAGCATCTCAGTACATTTTTGTAGTTAGGCAGGACCCTAAAGTAAACTCCCAGGAATAAACAAGAGCAGCAAGTCACAAGGAGCTGGGCTGGGAGGGGAGGGCGTAGTGAAGGAGGAAGGGGGAGGAGGGGTGAACTTAGCTGCTGCAGGCGGGCCTGTCACTCCAGCTGATAGGAGTCATCTTCACCTTCAAGTTCTTACCAAGGCACAGCCCCCAGAAAGAAAGTTGGAAATGAACTCTAGTGCTTAAAAAGAAAAGCTGCCCTGCGAAGCGCCTGCCCTCCATGGCCGCATTTCCAGGCCCCGGGCCGCACGCTCGGGCTGCGGGCCCGAGGAGAGGGGCACGCGCTACCTGGCGTCCAGCTCCTCCTCCGACTCCGCGGCCGTCTCGTCTTCCTCGGCCTCTGACTCCTCCTCCGTCTCGAACCCTCTGGTCGCCTCCTCGTCCCCGTCGGAGCCGAGAGAGATCTCAGTGGCATGGTTGCTGTCGCTGCTCGCCATCGCGTCTTTCCGGGGCCGGAGCCGGAGCCGCCTGCGCCGCGCCTGGTGTTCTCCCTCTGACTGCGCTTACTGGCCCAGCGGGGCAGCTCGAGTTCCCCGCCCGGGGGGCGGGCGAGCCCCGCGACTTTAAATAGAAGGCGTCAAAAAGTTTCGCCACCGAGCTTCTGGGGCCCGGGCTCAGCTTCTCCTCTTGCCAGCGCGTCTGCCAACTTTCCCCGAGCCGTCCGCGCCCCAGTTTAGGCAGATGTTTGGCAGGCCCTTGGGGCAACTGGAGATCACCCACCACTCCAAGGGCCGCAGGCTCCATCCGGCTGAACCAGGGAGTTGAAAGGAGGAAAGGCACTCAGCCCCGCCTCTTTCCTCTAGAGTGGGCTTTGGTAGGCTTTGTTTCCAGCCAAGCTACTTTATGGACCCTTTATGCCAAACAAATAATTACTCCTTACTGAGCACAGCCCTTACTGTAAAGTTCAGGCACTCGACTAAGGGTCTCACCTTCATTATCTCCTCACAACTCTGCTGTGGTAGGTTTAACTGCAATGCTGGTTTTACAGATGGGAACATTGAGGCTCAAAAGAGCTTGGACAGCTATGTTGCTCAAGGTCTGGTGGCTAGTAAAGTGACCCAATGGGAAACAAAGCTAGGCCTGCCTATTTCTAAAGTCCAGTTTTGAACCACTGTTGAGCATTGGGTCCCTTCACATTTGCAAAGCAATAAGTTGTGTATTCTCTTCCTCAGAAGACCCTGGATTGTTCAATTAGGAAATTTTTATCTCCACTAATCTTAAACCTTGAAGATAAATAATTTTCTCTACACTGGCCAAAGGCTAATTTTGTCTAAACTCAACCCAAAAATCCCCAGACCTTTGGTTGGATCATGTCGTGTCCGTGCTTAAAACCCAATGGCTTCTGCCTGCTCAAGGACTAAGACCTAAGCTCTTCAGAAAGACAAACACTTGCAAAACAGCCCACATCTTATCTGTCTGGTCTCTTCTCTAGAAGTTATGGTTCCCAACATTTATCGTCACACCACTGTGCCTTAAGTCCCTTCCACCTTAAAGGCTTCTCCCACCTTTACCAGTTACTCATCATTCAAGATCATCACCTCTCTCTGAAATCCCCAGCTTAAGCTCAATACCCCTCTTCCGGGT